GGGAGCGGCTACATATGGATTGTTTCACAATTGCAGTTTGTGATTTTTCTGGAGAGCTATAGATTCAACATGTTCAAAAGCCACAACCTTTTATGAACTGTGATGATGTGAGAGCTCTGTTGGAGCCACCTGTACATTGTCTAAAATAAAAACAAAGCAAACCATCATCCTCCTACCACTTCCTGCCATCTTCTTTGTTGTCTCCATCAGTAGTAACATCCAGCTGATGATCATCTGACTCGCGTGATGCGAAAAAAGTGTTTCCATTGCTGTTTTGCAAAATAAATCTACCCCCCCCAAAAAAAAACACATTTATTATTTTTAATTTGCACAATTTTATTGTTGCAGGTGTCAAATCTCTAGCTGTGTTTACATTACAAATGATAGCTCAACTTTGTCAATATTCCTCCACTGTCTACAAATCACAATTTTGCACTACAGTGCTTCAAATAACTAATAAATACAATTATAATCATGTGAATTAGTTTGTTCATGTAATAAGTCATTAAAAAACATTCTCCTGCCACTTCCTGTCATCTTCTCCTTCACGGTTTTTTGACGGTGGCAGTGTCCGGTTGTTCAACATGCGACTCGTGATGCAGCAAAAAGTGTTTTTTTATTGCAGTTTTGTGAAATAGACCATCTTTGATATGGGCAAAAAAAAAAAAAAGATAAATCCACCACCAAAATGTTTTTATCAATTTGTATTTTATTTTTTTTCTAAATTGCCATGTTTTCATTAAGCAAATTTATTTTGAAATTTCAAATTGCAGTTACATGATGAATGGAAATGCAGCTTCTGAGAGCTTGTTAGAAAAGAAAATGGATTGTTGGATTGCTGGAAGTTAATTAGCAAGGGCATATTCACAGCAATATTCTTTTTTACATTTTTTTCATAATTTCAGCCTTACCTATCAACTTCTATCAATTTATTTACTTAACATTCTACACAAATACCATATCATGACAATGTGAAAATGTGTAAGCATTTGATTTTGATTTTTAAGCCATTATGCATGAACTTAATAAAGTGGACTTTAGTTATCCTGCAAGAAACCTATAAACCAGAACCGTTTCTAGGACTGTGGTTCTGGTTTCTAGGAGATCTGATCAAAACCACATCAAAGGTTTGATGTGGATAAATGGATGGGTTAGGTCTGGATTGTGACAAAGTGAACCAGCACCCAACACAATGTATAACAGCTCCTCCCTAATGGACAACTCAAATGGTTCAGGCGTATTTTCAGTGACCTGACCTTGAGCAGGTGTAACAAGCAATTTAAAACAACAGGTAAAAAAAATGATTTAGAGATGCTCTGACATAAGATATTGGGTTTAGGCCATAAATACCTTTTTATTAAAAAATTTTTTTTTCCTTTGCAGACTTCTGCAAAGGTCCCTCTTGAAAATGATATATAAATCTCAACGAGGTTTACATGATTAAATAAAGAAAATAAAAAATAAAAAAACGTGTTGTTTGAGTTAATGATGTTGGAGTGTAGAGTTACCTAAAAGTGGCCAAAAATAAGTTTCCAAATAGTAATAATCTGTGACTGCTGCAAAGAAATGAAATTGCTCTTTTTCTAACCTTACAGTTCCAAATATGTTCTTAAATTATGTTTGTTTTGTATTTTCAGTCCTTGCCTCTTCTGTAACTTTCTAACCTCCTTTGAAAAACACATTTCATGCAAGTTAATGTGAAAAACATAATTTTTAGCCCCAAAGATTCAAATTCAAAAATTAGGGCACATTCACAATGAATACATGTAGTGTGGCTGTCTGAGAATAAAATTTGTTCATAAGAGTTCTCTGTCATGCAGCACGCAGACCTGGTTTTATGAAAGAATGATCATATGACAGAGTTATGGGAAAGTAATGTTGAAATGAATGTTTTTGAGCAAAACATTTTAACATCAGGCAACAACTGAGTGACTGAAGGAACATGTATTCAAGTTATGTATATTTATTAAGCAAAAAAGCTTTTCAAATCAAAATAACACTCTGAAATAGTAAGTGTTTTGCCACATTACACATCAAGGCCCGACTCTTGTCAGACCTGTAGAATTAGAAAATCACCTAAATAAAACATTCTGGCAACAAGCACCAGGTGGATATAAATAATAAACACATACTATTTTCTAATTTGCCCCAAATTCCAGAAAGTCAGCAAACAGTCATTGGTATATATCAGTTTGGAAGATCTTACAAATTAAGACTTTGAGACTCTACTAAACCACAGCTGGACCTATTAATGACTAATTCAGAGAATATGGAACAACCAGGAAACACTATAAAGAATGTCATAGCTGCATCTCTAGTTATATCAGAACTGACAAAGCATTAAAAAAGCAACATCACTCCATTGAAACAAGGTGATGTGATGGTCTGGGGATGCTTTCTTGTTTCACCTGACTCACCATATTTTATGGTGCTCTTTAATACTTCTCTTTAACAGAAAATCCTTTAGAGGAATGTTATTAAAATGAAGGCTTTTAAATGATCTAGCCAACTATGAAGTGAAATCAACTCAGGTGGTCGGGAGTTACTATAAGCTAATTTTGCTCTAAATTGTACAACTTGACTAAATTAAAACCTTTATTGAAAAAAATAAGGGGTGGCCAAAGTTCTTCTTCAGAGATTTAAAGATTTATTACCAGTTACTGGAATTACTGATGACAGTTTTTGGAGCCCAAGGGGCAACAGCTGTGATACCTTCCTGGAGGAAGAAATTAGCTGAGATAATGCTTCCATCAACTTCCTCTCCTGCTAATAACTTACTTTCATAAAAATGAAAAACAATCCTACATTAGCTCATCTGTTTCTTTTTGTGTCCCTGCTGTGTCTTCTCCCAGTGGGTTGTGGCAGAGGGTCGTTTGGACTAAGCCAAGTTTTTCTGGAGGTTTCTTCTTATTAAAGTTCTTCCACTCCACTGTTGCTCCATTCATGCTCAGTATGAGGGAATGCTGTTAAATCATCATCACAGTACATGTGATTGTTGCTACATGCTGGTCCAGAAAGAGTTAATACTGCAAGTCAATGACTCGATGTCATCTGCAGTGTTTCATTACACAGAAACTTTTTAAACTTCAGTGAATAACTATTTAAGCATACAGTACTGTTTGATAACTAGGATCAGTTGGAATATATTTGTGATTAAATTGAAAAGAGATTTTGTAAAGTCCTTTGAGATGACATTTAATGTGAATTTGTGCTATTTAAATAAAACTGAATTCAATTCAATTCAATTGAAATGAAATGAATTGAATTGTGGGCTGTGTGTGGTTGGTAGAAACTAGAAGGTCCTGGTTTTGTGTCCCAACCTGTTGGTCTTTCTGAATGGAGTTTACAGAAGTTCTTTTTATCTTGTTAAAGGCAGTAATGATTTTGCATATATTCAGGGTATTTTATGTGAAATAAAATGAAGCCTTAAATGTAACTATATTTTCCAGCACTGGATATGCATATGCATTCTATAAGCTTTTAATGCTCATGTTCAAATCTCATCTTCCAATTGGCTGACAGTAAATGGTCTTGCTTGAAAACAAATTGCATTTTAAGGTTAGAGAGGGCAACATGGTGTGGTAATAAAATTATCTGATTAACTTCTCTTTTTAATTAATGCAAAAATGAATGTATGTATGTACGCATGTATGAATGTAAACATTGCAAATGACAGGCTGATTTAATTGAATTAAGATACACATACTAATATTTAGAGAAGGTTAAAAGGCTGAACTTCTAAGTCATTTATGATTTGTCATGTTTGTAGCTTTTTAAATTTGTGGTTTTAAGTTGGAAACAACAGACAGAAAGTAAACCTCTGTATGTGAAGGGTTTGTTAAACACTAGTTGATATCAGTCCTGACTGCATATGTGTCTCTAATGTCTAAGATATACAAACACACACACACACACACGCACACACGCACGACCAAATGCCTTAAAATAAAGCGTAAAGCAGATGTGGTAATCTGTACAATAAATATTGCAAACAACAGTATATACAATTGTTCCAATGCAATTTGTCTGGATAAATTTTTTAATATTTGAAATGGTTACTATACCTTGAAAAAGCGATGCTCTTTCATCGCTATCTTTTCAGAAAGCTGAACAAAACCAGTTGGAAAACTTGTTTGCTGGAAACTTTATAAAGTTTGTTAGATGTGCTAAAAACACTTGGTACTACAGTTAGTAATACAGTGACTGTATAGTGACTGTAGTAATAGGATCACTAATAATTAAACACAACAACTACTTATTAAACACAAAAGTGTTTAACAAATAGAACACTTTGACTCAGATACAGAAATCCCAAATGAAATGTATCCGAGTTTGGAGGGGACTTTGCTCCTCAGTATTGTCTAACTATGTACATTTTTTTAAAAGCAAAGTGTATATTTAATTCCCTACTACTTTCAAGAATACATTACAACAGAAACCAGTGGAAAAAATATCACCTCTGAAATTGCTTCAGGCCTATTTTTGATACAGAGTTGTACCCCTTGCAATCTTGTTCTTTCTTCAGTCAGGCTAAAATTATAGAATGAAAGGATATTGGATGAAAAGATAAATCAAAATGTCTCAGGACTGAGATGCAGCTCTCACTGTGCAGGATGATTAAGAGAGTTCTTGTGATGAAGCTGCCATTCCATCACTTACGCATACTTTTTTTTTCTTGAAGCCATGGTTTCATATGAGGATTTCAACGATGTCTGTGTCTAATTCTTGCTGGACTGCTGGAGCTGACGAGAGAGCTTGTTGCTGTGAATGGGACTGCACAAGGAACCTCCGTTCAAAGGTGCTGCTGTGAACACTGGAACTTCTACACAAAGACGGCAAATAAAAACACATGTAAAGGTCAGACAAAAGTTTTAAGATGAACAATGAAAGTGAAGTTAACCCTGATCTTCGGTTTGATGCACAACTTTTATTGTTCATCTATTTTGCCTCAGTCCTTTACTTGCTTCTCCCATACAGTTTTAAACATTGCACACAAGTAATAATACCTTTGTATCCAGAAAAACAACATGCAGTGCTAATAAAAATGGTTGCCTTTCTTGTGAGTAACCTAGGCTGGCGTTACCTAATCTTTCAACAAGGTATGTGAAAATATTGACTGAACATTATGAATAGAACAAGATCAGTATGTGGCCATTCAAAATTCTAAAAGAAAACTAAATAACTAGACTTATTTATGTAATGAGTTCATTGAGAAGAACTATGTTTGAAACACAGTTCTACAAAAAATTGTAAAATTAATTTGAAAGAGCTGATCATTTTATAATCCTACAAGCTAGCATGTGAGCTGACCTGCTAAGCGATCTGGGATGTAGACTGGGCTCGGGCTTGATAGGCGGGCAGGCAGGGTCATACTCTGCAGGACTGAAGGGCTGGGCTTGCTTGCTTCTTGGCCTTGACCCTTGTCAGTCTGTGTGCAGCTGTCCCGGCTGCCTGTCTTTGAGTGACCTGTAGTCATCAGGGTGGTAGAAAGTACGGGGGAAGGGGATGACGAGATGGATTCTGTCCGCAGAGACTCTGTGCGACATTCTGGACCCAGCAGAAACTCCTACACAAACCAAAAAAAACTGAAAAACTTCTTGAAGAATTAACATCTGATTTTAGTCCCACCCTCCTCTAATTCTCATTTGTTTTAGTACAACTTACCTAATGAACCACAGTCTGCTTTAGGAAATAAATTACTCTTCATAAAAACATTTTGTCATTAGTCAGATTGTCTAGAACTTTGGAGTGGAAACATAAAGGAAATACATTGGAATCAGTTTTTTTTAAAACATTTCAACAATAAAATGACATTCTGTTCTTGCAGCCCAAGTTTGGGAGTTTCTTTTTGGTGAGTACACTCAGAGCAACAGTTACTTAACTGTCCAGGATTATGACCACTATACCAACCTGAAATCATTACTTCCTGTCCAGGAGACAAAACTGTACCAACCCAGGAGATCCTGCCTTCTGTAGAAGGTATACTTCAACTAAATATAAAGTGTATGACACAACTTCTCCAAATGGAGAATAGTTAGCTCTTGACACAGGGCGATGTGTGATGTTTTGCATATTGCTTATCTAACTTGCTGACAGAAACTGTTTCTCTCTTTTGTTTTATCATTGAGCTGAGCTAATGGCTCGCACATGGAGCCACCTTAGTTTCTAATGAGAAAGAGAATAAAAAAACTACTATATAACATTAACCTGTGGAAGAAATATAATAACCTCTGAAATGGTTTCAGGCCCATTTCCCAATCAATCTTTGCACTATCAGAGACCGATCGGAAGTTCCTGAGATCACTATGAAGGTTCTACTCCAGAAAAACAATTGGTCTTTGTGGTCTTGAGAAAAACAACATATTTATGTTCTTGTGAAGTATGCAAATGCACTTATAACAACAGAGATGTTAATTCCTAAAATGTTAAGTCAGAACTGCTGATCTTGACTGCATAATATTAATGCCTTTTTGGAGTATTTATGACCACTGTGATGTAGTGGTTTGCAATTTATTTATGGCATTGAAACAGAACGATAAGTGTATTTAATGTTCTCCTGAATAATGTCATTTAATAACTTGTTTATATTATTCTTTTTATTCAAAGTCCTTTATAAATTGATGAGGCTATAGCAGTTAATAATTTCATTTCCAATTTAGAGCTCAAGTTTCACCTGTAGTAAATTAGAAGAAAAAGAACAGCATGTTTATACCGAGGCTTCCCTTCCAGCTGGCATCCTTGCGCTCCTCAGTGATTGGTGAGCTGCTAAGCCCAAGGTTGTGCGAAAGCAGTCCTGAACCACCTGGACCAGTGTTGGAGATGGACATCAAGGATTTAGAAGGACGCATGGCAGATGGTGCATCAGACTTCATGGGTTCCTTCCTAGAGCGCTGATGAAGAACCTTTATCATGGCATCTTTCTCAATGATCTGGGCATGAAGATTCTTAATCCTGCAGTAATGAGGAATTAACTTGAGTTAGATCAGAATGCAGAGACTATACAGCTGCAAAGTTAGTCCAGAATGGCAAAAATGTGTGAGTGGAACCCCCCCCCCAAAAAAAACAACAACAACAAAAAAAGAGAACTCTACCACACTAATAATATGATTGTTCTCAATCAGAAGAATTTACAATTCACAGTGTGCCTTATCTAGATTGTTTTTTAATGCTTCATCAGATTCCTTTTCAGAAATGATACTCCATGAGCAAACCTTGTCCTTCTGACACTCTGACTCAGGATACATGCAAAACTCAATGCAGACCAGTTAATCTGACTTCATACCCCCATCAGTTCAGTCAAATTTTAGGAGGAGAAATTAGCTCAGCTCAGCAACTAAGATTCTGGGTAAAGCAATGCATAGAGCTAATATGCTATTCTTTAGCTATGTGCTCATCCAGGAGTGAATGCTGCAAATCAATGATCTGCTAGGTTTCCTTAAAGACAAACCTTTTAAACTAATATGAATAATTATCTGAGCTCAATGTACTGTTTGATAACTAGGATCAATTGGAATGTGTGTATGTATGGTTGAATTAAAATGACTTTTTTTGTAAAGTGCCTTGAGACAACATTTGTTGTGAATTGGCAATATACAAAAAAACTGAATTGATCATCACATAATATCAAAGTTGTCCTTTTTGTTTTCTATTTTAAATAATGTGCTTTTAATTTCATGTCTTATATTTATGTAAGATGATCATGTGGATAATCATGTGATCATGTGAATTGATTATCATCATTAACTGTTGCTGAACACAAACTCAAGCAAGGGCTGTCGCCATGGTTATTCAGACAGCTGATGGGAGCTTTCTGAAGATGCTAATTTGCAGCTAATCTCAAATTAGGATTTATAAAAGGCAACGTGTGTCTGCACACAATTTCATAAGTTAGAATTGTTTTGGTAAGTTTCAGTAATTCTCCCTCCTGAAAACTTTCAGTACAAAAATTACACACTTTTCTATGAATGAAGATTCAGATTTCATCTTTTTAACAGCTTGGCATCTTACATGGCATTCCCACAGCAATCAACATCTTGCATCATGTGACGAAAACAACTTATGAGGCATTATTGGATATTTTTGGACTGAGAGGCAGACAACTCAAATACTGAGCTCAATGTAGCTCAATATCTGATGGGCCAATGACTCACATGTATGTGACTTCAATGGCCCTATAAGTTGAAATTGTTCTGACTTGAAGATGTAAGCTTGTTACTCTCTACCATGTTCAGTACAGAACGAGCTGCATGAAGTTTCTTCAAAAAACAAGAGAAGTCCAGTTATCTTCTATTTTAAACACATTTTAAAGCCCAGAATGAATTTACATGTATATATGTATTTGTTACCCAACCTGCTCTCCATATCAAGACAGCGACGATTGGCCATTAGGATCTCTTCTTCTTCCTTCTGAATTCGAGCTTCAACAGAAGTATCATAGCTGTTGCTCGGAGAATGGTTTATCCCTGCTGCAGATGTATCCCTACAGCACAAGTGACAAATTTTCAAAAACAAGCAGAAGGTTATCTTGACCAGAGGTCTTTTTCTCAAGTTCTCAAGGGACATTGTGCTGCAGCTTTTTTAACACATTTGAATCAAATGGCTGAATTACCTTTCAGTATGTAGTCAAGTTAAGAATTGACAGAAAAGCTACCAGTTTTTTTGCTCTCTATTTACCTTTTGTGAATGTCCACAGAAGTCCAGGGAGGGAGTTGTCATTTCATCATGACTAAGTAATTATCGGTTTCTTCCTGCTCTCCATATCGAGAGCAGAAAGATTGAGGGGAATTCAGAATTTCAACTGTCTATAAAGTTTTTTATGAGCTTTGGGAAGAGTCAGCCTGTGATTAGTTTTCAACTTATGGCACAAACTAAGCATTATAACCAGTTGTCATAATGTTGTAAAATAAGACTGGTCAAGATAAAAATATGTTCATACACAAGACAAAATTTAGGCCTGACACCTGATGTTGTCTTCAACTGCAAAAATCTCACCTCTGCACAGCAACGGACGCAGCTGCATCCAGGGCAAACTGCCTCATTACACTTTCCTCTAAATACTTCTGCTCCCATTTAGTCATGTCAGCCTCCAGAGCCAGAATGCGCTCCTCCTTCTCTCGCAGGTGCTCCATTAGGGCTGTGGCATTGTACTCTGATGTCACTAAGCCGCTGCTCTGTGAGGTTCCTTGACGCTGAATGGCATGATTAACATGTGAAGATTGATGGGAAGAAAAAAACACACGCAGAAGACATAAGAAAAACATTTTTAAAAGTTCACACGTTTATCTCCAATAATCTAAGGTAGTATACAGTTCCTTTTAATTGTTATCAATGTTTTGGTATTGCTAGTTAAAATCTGAACAGCAGTATTTTGGACAGCAGTAGGTCCAAAAACAGCTTCATCTTTGCAATCATAATTGACTGAAAAACAAGAACAGTAAGCAGCAACTAAAAATTACATTACTGCCTGATCAATCACTGTGGTGCCCTACTGGTTTCATGTTTTGTAATCAGAGTGAGAGCTACATTGCCTTCCCTTCCACTTGCACATATGAGAAAAAACTGCTCTGAATTAAGCATATAAACCAAAACTTAATTTTAGTTCAAAACTAGCAGTGAAATGTCACAAAGTTGATACAGAACTGTGGAGATATTTTAGGAATACAGAATTGTGAAATGGTTACCTGCTGCAGACGTAGAGATTCCAGTTCTCTTTCCAGTCTTGTACGAAGACGGTGTTCTAGTTGTTCTCTCTTCTCACATGCTGCCTGGAGCTGGGCCAGAGCCTGTTGCATCCTTTCCACTTTCTCCACATAAACTTGTTTTTTTTTTAGCTACAGATACATATAAATACATACTTTTAAGTTACTGTTGATGATGCTTTTATTTTTTTGTTCTGCTACAGTAAAATAAAAGGCTTATAATCATCCATCGTCTCCAGCAGTGTGAGACAAAATAATACAACTTATTGAAAAAATATGACTTTCTCCAGATGTTCTTATCCATGCTAGAGTGAGAAAATTTGATGGTGTAAAAATGAACTTAATGAAGGATTGAACATCGTAGATATTCAGTATCATACCTGTGTGTAAATGTATGATGGTGCATTTCAAAAGAATTGTAAAGTATTCAACTTTTTCCAACAAACTCTCATAGTATTTTTTATGTTTTCTTATGTTTGAACCCACACCAAGTTGTGGACTAAAGTGGAAGGAGAATGCCACTTAGCTTTCAAAATCTTTTGAGAAGAGAAATCTGAAGACTGTTCAGTATTCCAACCACTTCACAGGGAGTTATCAAGCTACCCATAGTTTTTCAGGAGATTTTCTTCAAAACTTGTATCTGTACTCAAGTCAGTTTATGATGAATCCTTGGAAATTGAACGCTGTCAAAAACACTGATGCAAACTATAAACTCAGTCCCACTTAAAAAGGATAAGGAGGTCCCTGCTCATTGCAGCTAAGAGGCCAAACATAATAAATCCTGCCGTAACTATAACGCTGAGAGTGAATTTGCGTGTTAAAAATTACATTGGTAAAGAACGTAAAATGCTTCAACACAACAAATCTAATGTGGCCTTTAAAAAACAAACACTTGACAAAGTTTGGCCATATCGAGGCTCATGCAGGAAAAAGGGACATCTGGAGCAGCCAGATAGCAGGTAAAGCAGCACACAGCTACTAAAACTCACCGAGAAGAGCATGATGCTCAGACAGCTAGACAAATAACTCGAAAAATGATTTATGACGCTGGTTCTGCTCTCGCTCTTAGTCCGCCGCTGCGAGCTACCGGTAGTAATATTTCACAGACGTAGAACCGCTCAACCTCCACGAGACTGAACGCAAACGTAACATCCGGTCACCACATCATGCAGAGCAGCTGGGACTGTGGGAATCACCTACCCGGATGAATCCATTCTCCTGTCTCTTCTCTGGGCCTTTTACCTTCACAAAGAAACTTTCCAAAGAATCTCATCTGTTTCTTACTCATGTTGCTGCTTGTGGCTCAATGTTGGCGGCAAGACGCAACCGAGAGAATCCGGCTAAAGGATTATTAAAGTAAAAGATCCTCCATACTCAAATAATACATAAAACAGAAATATTTAATTGTTACTTGTGCGGCCCGGTGATTGGGGGACCACTGGACTAGGTCATCAAATCAGTCTGTCAAGCATGTTGCCTGTAGGGATTTCTAATGTCCAGCAGGTGTCAGTATTCAGTGACACAGTATCAATACAGTTTTGCTATGGGTTGAAATGCTTCATGACGCTTCATTTACCATCACTATTCATTAACAGTTATCTGGTCCAATTAATAAATGCCTGATCTTCTTTATCTGTTGAAAGAATTTAGTAATATATCAGGAGACAAAGTTAATCTATATTTTTCTCACCTCCTCCTCCAGTTTAACCACTTTTGCCTGGGCATTGTTCAGCGCTTGGTCTCTGATCTCAATGTGTCTCCTTGGTCATCTGCAGTTGAGCGAAGTGCATTCAACTCCATCTCCAGCTTTTCCTTCTCCCGCAGAATTTCTTTATCTTAATGGATAATGGAATATAAAAACATAAAGCACACTATCATTTTGTCCATTTTGAAGCATGTAGACTGAATCCTGGCTAAATCAGATTTTCTACTGATTCATTGGTTTCCTGGCTCTTGTCTGTAGTTAGCTTAATTTAGTCCCAACAAATCTAATGATCAATAAAAGCTGGAGAACTTTTATTGATCATTAGAACCCTAAAGAACTTTCTCAAGTAAAAGGAATAAGAAAAGGTACTTCTAAAATCAAAAATGCATTTACTGACAAGTCGGAGCGGTCATGGTGTGGTCTTCAAATTTTAATACACAAAATCTCATTTCAGAATTGTTTCAAAAATGTTCTAAGACGATACACAATCGGATTGCAAAGTCACGTGTGCGTGTGTGTCTGTCACTCACTCTGAGCAACCAGCTGGGAGATGGTTTTCCGATTGTCTTCAGAGCTATCACACTCTTTAGAAACGAGCTGTTTATTAGCAGTCTCCATGCGCTCTTTAAAATAACATAAGACAAATGCATCATGACATCGATAAATAAATAATAATTTAAAAATCTGTCATTTTTATACTTTGCTAAGTTATCATAAGTCTTACTAAAAAGTAAGAAAAATCATCCGATGGCTTGGAAAGGATACTTTTTTGTTAATCTTTATGAGAGATAAAAACTGTGGCATATATATATATATATATATATATATATATATATATATATATATATATATATATATATATATATATATATATATATATATATAGGAGACAAAGTTAATCTATATTTTTCTCACCTCCTATATATATATATATATATATATATATATATATATAGGAGACAAAGTTAATCTATATTTTCTCACCTCCTATATATATATAATATATATATATATATATATATATATATATATATATATATATATATATATATATATATATATATATATATTATTTTAAATGTATACCCACATGCCTTTGGAAAGAAACACAGAGAATAAAGTTATAAGATAAACTTATTTTTTGTTTATTTTATTGATATGTTAAAATAACATAATTAGATTTCTTGGTGCCCATAAAGAGATGACTAAAACTAGAATGATAGTGACACTTTAAGCTAAATATATAATCACATTATGACAGGAGCATTCTAGGTTTTCATTCAGACTATCTAAAGTAAACAAATTGGGTTACTGCACCAATACAGAGCAGAGAAAGGACATGCAAGAACTGATTGAGGAGTTCAGAAACGTAATGACAGAGATCCATGTTAAAATTAGGGCTACAAGTTCATCTCAAAGTTGCTTCATGTTCCTGTCACTATAATTTTCAATATTTTTAAAGTGTATACAGTTCATCCAACTGTGGTTAAGGTTCCCGGATGTGAGCCAAAGACGAAATGCAACCCTAAATAAAAAAAAAAAAATAAAAAAAAAAAAGACTATTTAAGATTTATTTCAACACAAGTATGTTGAAGCAAATCGCTTACTCATCACTCTTATTTTTTTTTTTTGCATTTGAACCTTAAAGCTGCAATATGTAACTTTGACAAAATATTTTTTCACATAGCTGTTGAAACTGTCAATGTTGTGACAGTATGGTATGACTAAGATAATCTATGAAACAAATCTAGTTCCTCTGCTTTCCCCCAGTGCTAACAAGAAACAACCAATCAGAGCCAGGAGGAAGTTCTTAGTGCTGTCAATCATTCTGTTATACTACAACCTTTTTCTGATAAGAGAGCCTGCCAGGAATGCTCAGGCATCGCCAGCGATGACGGCACATGAATGATTTTTCCTGGAAGAGTGAATTATTTCTCCACCATTACATACACACAGATATAACTCAGAACCAGTTATTTGAAAAACTCGTGATCTTTTGGAATTTTTTATACACAATAAATTATTCAAAACACAGAAAATATGCAGTGAGCTTGTAACTATGCAGAACACCCAATTCAGTTCCTCAAAGCTAAGTAACAAAAGAACAGAAACAGTTACCTTCTCCGACAAATTTCAATTTCAGCCAAAACATTTAAATGCTAGGGTCAAAATTTGGTGTCGAAAACAGGGAAGCATGGATTGATGCTACCTTACGACAACTGTTTAAGTTGTTCATGATTAATGGTGTGACAAATATTTGCTTGATACAATTTGGAACTTGTGTCTGGTGAGTAATTATTAAATAGTCTACCTGCTTTACCAGGGAATGACTGCAAGATTTCTGTACTCCAATGTCCTCCACAATTTTCAGGTCTCAATCCAATACAGCACTTTTGGGAAGTGATGTAACAGAAAATTTGAATTATGGATGTGCACCTCACAAAATGATCTTTCATCGTTCAGAATGACCTTAGGTCATGAAAGGACAAAATGACCTTTCATCACTGATCGTGATGTAAGGTCATTACAGATCAAAACCTCAGGAATATTTCCAATTCTTTGTTTGAACTATGTCATGAAGAATTAAAGCAGTTATAAAGAAAAAGAAGTGGTCTAACTAGGTACCACCAATGTGTACCTCACTAAGTGGCCGGTGGATATTCTGTAGACAATGGCTGAGTAACTTCAAGGTAATATTAAACTATTTCCTATTTATTTAGTTATTTTGTGAAGTTGCAAAATGACTTACTGATGTTAAAAGTAGCCATCCAGATTTTAGAGCTCATGGACAATGAATGATAAAAATGATTATGATGTTTTCTAATAATACATTATTAGAAAACTTCAGTTAACTCAAGAAATTCCAAAGCTAACAAATGAACAATAAGCTCACCTGTGAAATATCCATGTTTTGTTCAATAAATGTTCTTTATTTGGATATTTACCTGTCTCCATTTATGCTTAATATTGTCTGATAATTAGATCTACATTATTTTGACTGAATGATATTGTCATTTAAAATTCACATTGAACTACTGTCCAGCTTGCAAAAGCATCTTTACAAAATAGTAAAAAATAATCTTTTCTCAGCTCTCACCTCGCAGGTCTCTGTTGAAGTCATGCAGTCGGCGCACTTGTAGTTCCAACTTGCTCCTCATAGTTTTCTCCAATGCTTCTCTCTTAGAGGAAGACTTGGCAAGGTTTTCATAGGCCTCCGACACTGTATCTCTGTTTCCAACTACCCAAAAACAAAGCATACATTAAGTGACTGATTCATTGATGTATACCCACTTACTACCAATTATTAGAGCTGTTCATGGCCAGACACGTTATTTTTTAACACCTCTGAGCTACTTTTTCAACTTAATGGTATGATGTAGTGATAAAAGTTAGGTTGCATTAGAGGTGTCCAAGTCCAGTCCTCAAGTGCTACCATCCTGCAACTTCTAGAGCTCTGCTCCAACATACCAGCAGTCATTAAGCTCTGCAGA